CAGTCACATGGGCAGCAAGCCACTCCAACAAAAGAGGCCACACCCATAGAGTAGGTTCAAACAATTTTTGAAACCCACCACTGATTTCTATCCACAAAGCTATCACAGCCAAGCCCCCACCCAATCAGTTCAAACCCCCTCTGGCAGTTAAAAGGAAGAAACAGCTGAGATCTCACACTACTCCTGGAAACACCAAGCCTGAAGTAGCCTGAAGCAGCCTGAAGATGACGAATGAGACTGCGTCGAAACGTCGCCAAGACATCTCCAATTCTACGCGGGAGAAAACCCGAACAACTAGAGACCTACATATATATATGTCTACTGCTATATATATATGTGTGTGTGTGTGTGTGTGTGTGCGTACGTACATACACACACACACATATACACATACATACATACATACCCATGCAGACAACTTATGTATTAATTGTACAGTTGAGTTTTCTAAGTCTCATGTTCATAAGGATTTATTTCAGCTGCACAAATATTTTTGAAAAAAAGAGTATTATTTTCCACACCGCAGTTCTAAAGATTCTCTTCCCAGCTCTGACTTTCAATAACAGAAGTAAAACACTCCCATAGATTACATAATATTTATAGATAGGAATGATTTATGTACATATTTCAAGAGTATAAATGAGTATGCTGAATCACAAACAGAATTCAAGTTGGGTAGTGTTTGTAGCATTAGCATTAAATTATTAACTATTCATTAACCCTTTTATAAATATTCACATTCTGTACACATTCAATCAAATTTTTTATCTATAAAATAAAATAGGTTTTTGCTTCTTGAGCTAATAACTTTTGGAAGTCAAAGCATTTGTTCTGAATATTATTGCAACTGAGACAACAGATTGCTAATAAAACTTAGAATTATAGCAGTATCTAAATATAATTGCCAAAAATATTACACCTTTTTTTACAGGTTTAGACCACATTGATTTATTCTTACAGTTTCTTAAAATAGATGTGAAATTGTAGATCACTTTGAGTTTAAATGAAATGCTAAATGAATACAAAACTGCATTATCTATAACCCTTTCTACTAATAAATGTGGTTTCAGGTTGCTGGCATTTCACAATTGTTTTTGCATGATATTGAACCATAGTATCAAGAGTTTGGCAAGAGTGCATGTAAGGACCTGGTGTTGCAATTACTTTACACACTATATTATTTGTTTTTCCACCTGGGCTAGTAATTTTTGAAGAGTAGACTTTAGAAAAGGTGTAGTGTTAGCTAACAACCAGAATACCTTTACTTATTCTTTCTTACTATTTCTGATTTTTTTTCACATTGCATAACATTGCCTACTCAAAAAGTAATATTATGATGGGGATGTTTGTGTGTGTGTATTGATTCTTTGGTTTAAAAAATGTTATACGTTGTAATAGACTAAAAATGCTAATTTGTAACATATAAGAATGTCACCTATGTTTGTTTAATAAATAATATACTGAATCTATTGTTTCATTGGTTTCATTGTTCCAAAAAAACTAAGCCCAACTTAAATAAACCATATTCTGATTTAGGAAAGTATATGAATCTATCCAGCGTTACATGAACCCACACCTTGAATATCTGTTGTTATAAGCAATTCAACAGGATTTTTATTTTATTTAGATATAGATGTCTGCTGAATTCAGTTAGTTTTGTTGGCCTGTCAAATAGCATTGTACACAGACAATAAGAAACCTACCTCATTATTTTGTTAATGTCTCATTGTTAAATTCAACTAGGCTTTGGAACTCCTCTCCGCACCGACTTTAAACGTAGGCATCTCTAGGTTCCATCATTTACCAAGATTATAAAAGTAGTTCTGTGCTGTTGTGCTGCAAGGCCACCTTCCCTTTTTGGGACATGCATTGAAAAGGAGCAGGGCTTCATCACAAACAGCATATAATGCTGCTTTCATCAATCTGTCCCATTAGACAGACTCTACCCCCACTCACCACTCTTGTCCCAGGATTTTTGCTGCATGTATATTTATAATGAAAATAGTTGAAAACTGCTGTAACTGATTATTGCCGTAATTCTACAGGACAAAATTTGCTCTAATTCATTTCAGTGTATATGTATAGTATTCGTGTATATGTATAGTCTTATTAACGTGAACTCTAACTGAAGATATGTACAACCATCCATGCAATCAAAATCCCTGTCATATTTTTCCCAGTGAGAAGGCTGCCTAATAAGGAATTAGGCCACTGGTCTCTTTTCTATGCTGGCCAATAGACAGTCTCTAGGGCTTCAGATGTTGTTTCTCAGGATGATCTACAGATATCAGAATCTTTCTTTATTTTCTATTTTCCTTTTCTTGTATTACACCAGATAGATGAACATTCTCAGAATACACTGAAAATTAAATGCAGAAAGTTAAAAATAGGAATGCCTGTTCCCCAAATATTTCTTCAGGAAATAACTTACAATGGCATATGGCTGCAGTACAGTGCAGAAGTACCTATCTTAGACAAAGAATCAAAGATGTAAAATTTTAAAACACCCTAAAGAAAACATTATTTTCAGATAGTCTCTGATTCCTTATACTCAATGCTTGTTTTGATAATGCTTTTGTGTCACAGAAAGAGCTGCCAAACCTTCCAAAAAGTGTTAAAATTAAGGGCATGCAAACAGCTGCTCAGAATAGGATTAAGCATAAGCATTGACTCATCTCTAGAAGGGGATTAACATTTCAAATGGTGTAAGAAGTGTATAAAATACCAGATTCAAAGAGTTCCAGTCAAATGATCTGGATGGCAGCACCTTGAAAAACATCTACGTGAAACCTGGAGAGATGCTAATTCAGAATTGACATTATGAGGCAAGACAGATAAAAGGTTTAACTAGGTAACTGTTCGCATTTTATGCTGCAAACATTGGAAGCAAGAACCAGTATAAGAGGATTTAGCAATGTTTCACTTCAACCTATGGTACCCTTGGTTTGTGAAAAAGATAAGCATTGATTTGCAAAGTTTCATTCTTACGATGGCAGTTGTACGGAAAATCTTGAAGCAATATTTTGTTATCTTGTTGAAAGGCACCTATGCTGTTTGTTACTAAGTTCCATATATAATTTATTATGAGTAAACATGTGAGTTTGAAAACTGATTAAGTTATGAACTTCCTATATTTAATTATCCTTTCAGGTTTTTTTAAAAATAGTGTTCGTCACTGAAGAGAAAAAGTGACATTTTGCAAAATACCTGTGCAAATTTAAATGTACATAGCCGAATAAATAAGAACTTTGGATCTGCTCTGAGTGCAATGTCAACTCCAAAGCTCAATAATGTCATTTAACTTTGCATTTTTCATGGAATGAAGGAATCTAGTTTGTTCATCTAAAACCCTTCCTTCCTTTTCTCCCTCCCTCCCCCCAGGGCATAGAAACCTAATATTCTCTCACCAGCTCTTTGATTATTGACTATTTATTACTCATCTACTCATTCAACAAGTTTTAATGCTGAAATTACAGTATTGTTTTACAAAACCAAGCTATGCTTTATCCAATTAATAAATGTGGTGCATTGCCTGGATGAATAGTAATATAATAGTAATAATAATATAACCTCATCATCTGCTACCAGAACTGATTGATTGATTGATCTTGCCTTCAGTTTTTGGGATGAGCTCATCTGCTGAATAATCCATCCAAATAGCTTTAGGGCTTCCTCTCCAACTCTCAGTCAGCTGCCTTCAGCTCTAACAGAGTACTGGAAGGGAAAGACTGTGCCTAGCCATCACAGATAGGAATGATGGTCCCAGAAGCACTGATAAATTAAAAGATCTTCATAGGCTGTTGATATCCAAGGTATTTTTGCAAAGCATGCCAATGTGATAAATTCATGTTTTTATGATTTCTAGAGATCCCATTGGTTTTGTACTTATTTGCCCTCATTTCCACGACATGGCTATGGGGAGGATTGCACATGGCTTACAGGCATCTATGGATGCTGGTTTTCTTTGTCATTTTCAACAGTCTACAAGTAAGTACTATATTTATCATTTACATTTTTAACAAAATCAAAGCACTGTATGTTTAATTATGGGAACCCTGGAAAAAGGGCAAGTGCGTGAGAAGGAAAAGTTGTACATCTATAAATAAAAAAGAATATAGCTGGTATGTATTGTCACACAACTCGAAACACATGCATGTACCAGAGGTACATTGACCATGCGCAGAAGTGTCGTGCGTGAATGCACACAAGCGAACTGGTAGTAAAAAAATGGAAATCCACCACTGGCATGTACATATTCCTTAATATAATATATGGTTCTGATGAAATGACTAAACACGTCAACAGTATAAGAATAAAAAACATAAATGTTTATATACCTATATTCATTTTTAGAAATAGGGTTCAGAACCTAAATGTCAACTGGGAAATGTTTTTCTATAATGTAATTGAAAATAAAGTCTACAGTAGCGATGGTGAACCTTTTTTGGCTCACATGCCATAAGTGGGCGCGCAGGGGGGTCATGTATGGGCGTGCTGCATCCATAATGCAATACGCAACCCCGCAGTGCGCATGTGCGCATGACAGGCACGACCTCCATTTTTTGCATGCTTTTTTCACCCTCCCCAGACTCCAGAGGCTTTATAGGAGCCTGGGGAAGACGAAAACAGCCTCCCCCCGGAGGCCCTCCAGAGGCTTCAGGGACCGTCAAGTGACTTCCGATTTATTTGTAGGGCTGTTTTTAATCCTATGGAGCCTTCAGAGAAGCCTCCTGAAGGTCCCTGAAGTCTCTGAGGGGCTTAAACCAACCCTATGAGCAAACTGGAAGTCTGTTCCCAAAGTTCCGGTTTGTCCCATTTTTTGTGCTCCGGAGCCTTTTCGCCCTCCCTAGGCTCCTATAAGCCTCTGGAGCCTGGGGAGGGTGAAAAATGGCTTTAAAAAAGGCTGAACTGTGCGCATGTGTGCTGGCCAGCTGATAGGGTAACGTCTCGCATGCCCTGACAAAGGGTTCTGTGTGCCACCTGTGGCACGCGTGCCATAGGTTCGCCATCCCAGGTCTATAGTATGAAGCAGTGTAAAATAATCTTCATGTGAAATATATTTTTAGTGAAATATTAAACATTTAGGTAGAACTTGCATGTTAAAAATTTAACTTGCAAAAAATTATGGGTTTGTGCATCCAGAATTTTTTTCCAAATACTTGTTGTAATGTTGGATCTCTGACTTGAAGAATGAAGAAAAAGGAATAGCACAGAAGTAGCTTCTTTGTTAGCAAGTGTGAGTAGGAAACTAATCATATTTAGCCAACTAATTGGATAGATTATAGATTGGAGACATTTTAATTAAACAAAAACTTTTCTAATTAAACATCAACTTATTTTTAAGTTTTAATTATTTGAATATAAGTATTTATAAAATTGACACATGGCAAATATGATATGAATTTCCCCCTTGCTGTCACTTTAGAAAATGTTTCCTAAGAAACTACTTGGTACTATATTTAAAGACATCATTAAGTAACAACAAATTATGTAGATTTTCCCCATCACCAAATTTATATAAAATGAAAAGAAAGTTATAATTGGATTGAGTATTTGAAACGGCCATATCAATTGTATTACATTTCATTCTTAAATTGGTGCCTTCTAGCTGTTGGACTTTAACTACTATTACACAACGTACCTGTACAAGATATGTTATCCAACATAAGTTGAGGCCACCAAAATTAGGAACGCTGAAGAAATTAGCAAAAGTCAGTAATAATGCGCTCCTCTGTGCATCTGCTCAAAATTGTCGAGATGTTTTTCATGGTGCTTTTTAAAAGTAAAATGGAATCATACGATAAATTGGAAAGGGGAAGAGAATTGAAGGAGAGACAGGTGGGTCTTTGCATTCACAACATAATAAGAACAATGTGAAATTAAGTGTTAAGAGAAACAAATCCTGCTGAAGTGAATTATTTTTTTTAAAAAAAAATAGAGATATATAAAATTAGACTTTAGATCTAAAGATTGCAGCCTTAAATCTCTATGTTATTGCTGAATTGGCATGGCTGGAAGTGATGTATTAACAAGACTCTTGACTTGTTCACTTGCATTAACATTGGGTCTCGGCTACAGTGATATAGCCTATATCAATTTGTGGAATCATATTATGAAACAAAAAGTTTATTTCTTAATATAGGCATCAGTAAGCATTGTTTATTTTAAATTGCATTTGTTCCACACAAGTATGTTGAGACCATACCTTGCTCATTCAGTTCCTTGCATTCTTGGTGGGATTTGCTCACTCCCAATTTATTTTATTTGTTAAATTTATCTGCCGCCTATTTTGCTATGTGGCTGCTGTAAGTGGCTTACAACAACAAAAACAACGAAATAAAAAGAGGTGTAAATATAACAATAGTAAAGTAATGGAACAATAGAATAAACAATGAAAAAATACAATGATATAGTGAGCATCCCATATGCACAGCCTTTTTTTTTGCCTCTGCTGTAATGGCAGAATCACAACTATTTAGCAAATTACATTTAAAGGAACTTCAGATGACTTGCAGGAACAGTTCCCATAAATGTACACTTTTAATGCAATTTAAATATAAATACACTAAGTAATTAGTTTATTTAATAATACAGATTAAACAAAAAACCTAGACAAAACAAAAAGATTTTACTGGTTAACGCCCCCTCTCAATATTTTAGATAAAATTATGATGAACAATATTATATATATTGGTAGTCTTTTGCTGAAAATCAGATTTACCTTTGTATTCACTTTTGATTAGAAGAATGGGACGTTAAACGACAAATGTAAGAACACCAAGAGGGAAAAATACTAAATTCACATATAAATCAATTGGATTTGAAATGCTGCAATAAATTAGCAACAGATTTTGGCTGACGGTGAAGAACTTAATGAGATAATCAACACAGTATGCAACTGTGGTGAAAGATAAATGTACAATATCTAGAATTATTCAGAAGAGAATCAACAAACAAATTACTGAGCACACCAATAGTCCTTTGTATTTTTTCTTTACCTCTTCTGAGTTGATCAAAGAGCCTTTCCTTTAGAATATTTTTTCAAAAGAAAAAAACTTTTGGAGAAATATTTATTTATTCACTATCATATCTTGTCTTTCATTCAAGAGCTCAAAGCTGTATACAATGTATAGGCCTCCGTTCTATTTTTCTTATAATAATAGACCTGCAAGAGAAGTTAAACAGAGAGAGAATGACTGACCTGAAATGATTAGTGAGCTTCTAAAATTTAGTTTTCCTTATATATTTATTTGTTTCTTAATTTGTTTGCTGCCCATCTCGTTTTGGGTGGCTTATAGCATAAAACATTAAAATCATCAGAGATAAATACTCCTAATATAATGAAATGAAAATACAGTGAAAGTAAAATCATAGTTACAAGCTGGGGAAGGAGGGAGCAAGATGGCAGGGAGGTGGGATTGGCTCTTAATCTATCACCTCTATTGTTTGTTTGTTTGTTTGTTTGTTTGTAGTTTATTTATAGGCCGCCCTTTTCCCTGAGGGGACTCAGGGCGGCTTACAATCAAAAAAGGAAGGGGAGTGTAGGACAATACAAAAAAAGAAATGTGCACAAAGTAAATTAGACAATAAAACTCAACATTCACTCAGCATTCGGGAGGGGCGAAATAAGATTATCCCCAGGCCTGACGGGTTAGCCAGTTCTTGAGGGCTGTACGGAAGGCCTGGACGGTGGTGAGGTGTGATGTTCCCCATTTGGACCCACAAACCATCTAGCAGAAGGGTGGGAGTCGATCTCACCTCAGGGAATAAGATATTCCAAAAGACAAGATACACATTCTTAGTTCAATGTTTTAACGAGTCAGTAATTACAATGGAATGGAATGGAATTGCACTTAATCTTCAGGTGGCCAAGATTTATGTTTGAATATCTTGGGCTTTTTTACTGTACAGTCATGTATAGTGGTGTCCAGCTTCTCTAGCATCTCATGCTCCAAACTACAATATTAAGAAAAAACAACAGGAAGAAAAGTTTTCCCTGGCATTTTGGTAGCCATAGTGCAATTATTACTTAAGGAGACATTTTTCCTTTGTGAAATTTTTGGAGAACTTTTCCCTTTTCTTGGAAATATTTGGCAATGCAGTTTGCTCAATTTTTCTGTTTACAAATTTGCTGGCAAAATTTGAAAGAGCAATTATATCCAGCTATCGTTATATACCATTATATAATTATATGGTTGAACCATGCTAAAATAATTTCCACAGCATCACTGCCTTTACTCCCAGCTTCTTAATTTGTAGATCATTTTTCATATCTGCTGACCTGTAAATGTTAAAAACAAAGAACAAAAATTACAATCCACCTGAGCTTTCACCTCTCATGCAATAGCAGAATCTCACTTTTTTCTTCTTCCTACAAATGGCAGATAAAATTGTGTGTGTTTCACTCATACCCAGCCACATTCTACTTTCTCTTAATTTTCCAGTCATGTGCCTAAATAAATAAAGTCCTAATAATTTCTGTGAGGAAAAGCTGAAAAAGCATCTTTCAAAAACCAGAAGCACATTAGCATGATGAGCCAAAACTTTCTGCATATGATTTGGCATGGTTTCAAACATACAACAGCAGAACAGCAGTAAATTACCCTGGGTCTCAAATACAATTAATTCATTGAAATTTAGAGTTGTTTTCAAACTGATGCAGAATTCTTGTGCTGGTATTCTTATGCAACATTACAAATAATTCTTTGTGCTGCATCTCACAAAGAATCCTGCAAAACTGAAAAAGGGCAACAAAAATCACAGAAGGTCGGAGTAATTTTCCTACAAAGAAAAGTTTTGACAACTGGGAGGTGGGGGAGGAGGGGTAGTAAAAAGAGGTAGTATAATGAGTCAAAGTACTAGATACTAAATTCAATAAAGCTAAATGATGGAAAATTTAGAAGAGATGAAAAAAGGTACAGCAAGGATGCCCACCATGGACAGGGTTGTAAAACAGTGGTTCTTAACCTTTTTGAAAGAATTGCCCC